ATGGTTCTCTTGAATTTTTGTGACTTCCCAAGTGTGTCATGCATATTGGTTGGACAGTCTGCTAGACTTATCTTTTTTTCCTTCTAAAAGGATGCCATGGTGTATGTACTGAATCAACCTCTGCCTTTTGGTTGAGGATGTCCTTGGTGATTGTGTCATGTATTTTAAGATGCTTTTGAATCATCTAGTTCATTTGTATGATCGATTTTTAAGTTGAAATATATTCTGATAGGCCAGTTAAATTTTGTGGTGTTTATTTCTTTGATCACTTTTGTTTTTTGTTGTTTGTCAATTAAATTATGTGAAGATCAAAAGAATCGAAACCCTTAATTAGCAGTTGCATGTTAAGTACTCCAAAATTTGGTACCGGCTTATGATTTCTGGTATCTATGTCTAGCACTAGTGAATATGCTTGCTTGTTCTGTTTAGGTAATACTAGCAACTAATATTGTTGAAACATCCGTAACAATACCTGGAATCAAGTATGTGATAGATCCTGGATTGGTGAAAGCACGCACCTACCGTGCTCGTACAGGGATGAAATCATTGATTTTTGTTCCAACCTCAAAAGCACAGGCTTTGCGAAGGAGGTAGGCATACTGGATTACTAAAGCACAAAAAAATCCATGTTATATTTTAGTGATTTCATTTACTATTTTGAATAAATTGTCCTCCTTAAAAAAGAGATCTACTTATGTTCGGAGCTATCTTTTTCATGGAGTGGGTGGGTGGGGGAGAGTACGCCTAGGTTTACGAACTTCATCATATAAACAGGCCAAATGATGTGGATTTTGTTGTATTTACCCAATATTCCTCCTGTATATTTGTTTACATTTTTCATTGACTGAATATAAACGAATTTTAATCTCATGCCTGCTACTTTATTTCAGTGGACGTGTAGGCCGTGAAAGACCAGGCAAGTGCTTTTGCCTCTACCCTGAGATTGAATTTGAGAAACTCAGGGATTCTACAATTCCAGAGATTACACGGTGCAACCTTTCAAATATCATTTTGCAACTAAAGGCTCTTGGTGTTGATGATTTTTTTGGGTTTGATTTCATGGAAAAACCATCAAGGTGGAAAAAAAAGAATTAAGTCTTGTATTGGTTTAGCATTTTACTCATTGTTTCACCGATGTTTATTTGTGCATGCATTTTTGATGAGTTATTTTATGCCAACCTTACTCAGCCCACTAGATTGTATGAACAAAATTAAATTGAAGACAGAGAAAGCTTTCTGGGTTTGTAGTGAAGCAGGGAAAGACAAAATGAAAGGGTGTATTTCATGGCTCTGAGTCGATACTTTTGACCATTAGCAACTAGGTTGTGAGTGATTTCCATGAGTGATTGGTAACTAAGCAAAGGAAAGCCAAAAGGGGTGGTGTTAAACCAGAGAGAAAAGAACAGAAGATTTGTAATCATGATTTCTTTCATAATCTATTTTTTATTGTCCTCTTCTATTGTCTGCTTTCTTGAGGAGCTTGCACTATCTACCATAAACTTTTGTTTTTTGACATTTACTGAATGCTCATTTCTATTCTTGTGGAAGTGCTGTATAATTAGTGGAAGGAATTTATTGCCGTCAGTTTTACAATTTGAACAGGGATGCTGTCATCAAATCATTGGAGATACTGGTCTTGCTAGATGCTATAACAGAAGAATATAAATTGTCGAACCCAGTTGGGCATCAAATGGCCCGGCTTCCCTTAAAGCCTATTCATTCCAAAGCACTCATCTTGGCTAGTCAGTTCAATTGCCTGGAAAAAATGTTAGTAACTGTTGCAATGCTCTCGGTGGAATCTATCTTTTGTGCTCCTCATGAGAAGTTAGAGGAGATATGCATTCATGACTGATTTGTAATGCATTTATGTAGCTAGTGTTCATGAAGCTGCTTGGGTCATTCAATAAAGTGATCGTAAGTTTTTTTATTTGCCTTAGCAACTGGAATTGATTAACTATATTATAAATAGAACCAGAGGCTTTTCGATTTTCAGTCAGTGAGATGATTCAGTATGGGAAATAAAAACTAAATCAAATTATGATGGATACTTTGAACAGTAGAACACAAGATGAATTTGTCATTGTAGACCAATTACGTGAAAGTTGTCATTGTTAAGTATTTTTGCTGTTTGTTTCTCCTCATCTATTATTCATCATGATGAGGTTTTGCAGGTCTGTCACCTAGTTAATCTAATTGATGTGATCCCATTCTTTTTTTTAATGTTTTTTTTTTTGGGTGAGAGAGAGAGAGGGAGAGAGAGAGAGAGGGGGGGTGGTAAAGATAGAGATAGAGATAGAAAGAGTATTCAATTTGGAAATCGAGTATTCGCTACATATTTTTCCCTTTCTGGTTAGGCACAAACTGCAACAAAGTGCTTCTCTAGTCTAGAGGGAGACCATCTGATTTTCACAAACAATTTGGTGCAAAAGAGCTACTACAAAAAAACAACCTACAAGAAATCAGCATTTTAGGGATAAATTTATTCCTTCCCTAAAAGTATAATATTT